GGGCAGCTCAGCAGGGGCCAGGGGCCGGCAGCTGTGCCCTCGTCACTGCTGTCACGGGCGCTGACGTAGGGCAGGGGTGCCTGCACCGGGCCCCCCTGTTCACACTTCACTGGGATCCGGCATCTGAAAATACTCCCTTCCATTTTTTTTCGCTATTCTCTTTGCTCTGCATTCACTTTTGCAAAACAACCAAATATCCACGTGTCACACACCAAAAGCCAACGGCGCCAGAGGGCTGGGCCCCAGGCAGGGCTGCGGGGTGCCGGGCTCCGGGCAGGTTCTACGGGAACTAAACCCGTCGGGCCTCCCCTTCCCGAGAGGAGCCCGCAGGCTCCGCTGGACGGGAGACCATTCACCTGTGAGGCACTGACACTGCGCCCCCGCCCCGCCCGCACGTGCCTTGAGGAGGCTGGGGAAGCTCCGTCGGAGGGTGCTGAGGTTGCGGCCGAGCAGGGGCAGGCTGTCCCTGCAGAACTGGACGAGCTCGAAGGCCAGCATCGGGCTGTGGAAGTGCTCGGCCGGGACCCTGCTGAACACGTGCTGGCACATGGCCTCCGAGTCCATGGCGGCGGCCTCCCCTGAAAGCACAGGGTCAGGGCGGCCGGGACACAGCCCCTGCGCCCCCTCCGCTCCTCCTCCCAGAAACGCCCGCTGAGCTGCCCGAGGGCTGGGCCGACCCCCTTGGAAGCTGAGGACTGGGAGGCGGTAACAGTTAACTCGCTACATAAGCCCCTTTAAACCCGCCCCATCGGTGCCAACCGTCCATCACAGCGATGCCACCCACAGGGGAGAGGGGAGCGCGGGGAGCCCGCCGCCCTGACCTGACCCGCACCTTCTTGTTTAAAATCCTCACCCGAGGACGTTTCCCATTGGTTTTTGGTGCGAGTGGGAGAAAGAGGGACGGACAGAGAGAAACATGGATGGGTGGCCTCCTGCACGAGCCCCGACCAGGGCCCTGGGCCAGGGAGGAGCCCACAACCGAGGTACGTGCCCTTGACCCGAATCAAACCTGGGACCCTTTGGTCCACAGGCCGACGGCCAGGGCCTGACCTGCACTTTCTCCCGCGAGCCGGGCAGCCGACCCCCAGCTCACCGTGGCTGAGGAAGAACTGGGCGAGGGGCAGCAGCGCCCGCACGCAGGCGGGGTCGGTCCCCGCAAAGCCGCGCCTGCAGCGCCTTCAGGCAGGAGAGGGTGCGGTACAGGAAGGAGGGGTCCTGCCTGCAGAGCACGTCCAGCACCAGCACGGCCTCCACCAGGCACTGCGGGCACCAGGCCACCGTCAGAGGGAGGGGGGGAGCCCCGAGGAGGGGAGCCCCCCTCTCCCCCCGCCGAGGGCACTCACGGCTTTCTGCAGGTCCGAGTCTGCCCTCCGCAGGGCTCCTGGGGAGAGAGAGAGGCGGCTGGCCTCTGCACCAGCATCGAGCGGCCCAACAGGAGGCACACGTGTCCCGGAGGCTCAGGGAGCAGGCGGGGGACCCCACTGTGAGCGGAGGGACAGGCAGAGCTCGGCAGAGAGGCGCCCCAGGGGAGGTGTGATGGGTGCTGGGGACGCAGCCCGGGCCTGGGCCCTG